TGGTCTCCGTAGCGGCGTAAAGTGAGAAGTGGGCGAGTAGGACAGCTTCAGTTGGGCGTCCACTCTGTCGGATACGTTTGTCGTCTTCTAATTGGTGCCTAATGTGATAGGTCGGTCTGGAAGGTCAATGTGGCGAGAATGTGATTGGTAGACAGTGCATGAATCGGGTCGAGAGAGGTCTATTCACATGAGTTCACCGCCGCCTACGCTTTATCAACATCCCAGCCGGATTCGAACGATTGCAGCCCAGCACGCAATCACCTCACGTTGACAACTCAGCCACATCGCCACGAGTGCCCTTGGGTCGCCGGGGCGAGATGTGAACTGCAAGGCCAGGCCTTTTCGCAGGTGACATTCTTTGGTGCGACGCGACTCGTCGAGAATGCGTAGCAGGCATATACTACTTACTACTTACTACTCACTACTCACGCCAATAAGCGCCAGCGTTGCGCAAATTAATGTGGCTTGAAGCGGAGCCTTGCTGTGTGTGTTTTGCGTGTGTGTATTGGCCGTATCATGCTCCGAGTGGCGCGGGGCCGGTGGCGAGCATGAGGAGGGGAGGTGGGGTCGGCAGGCCGGTCCGGTGAGGAGGAGGGCCTGGCAGCGGAACACTTGTCGAGGCTGGGCCGTCCGCTTGTCCCTTCGGCGCCGTTCAGCGCCGGTTTCGGGCCAGTCGGTCTCATCTCGAGCCGCTCTTCTCGCACCTCATCAATCCGGCCCTTTCTATCGCTCTCGCTCTCGCTTGTCCTCTCGTCCTATCGGCCTCTCGCTCTTTGGCGCCGCGCTTCACACCCGCCCTTTTACGGCTTCGCGGTCGTCTGCACGCCGACCCGGTCGTGGCGACCAGCTTGTGCGTCTGCCAGAAAAATTCTGCCACCACCTTTCACACACCGTCCCGCTCGCCGGTTCGATTTATTTCTCATTTCGCCTCCCTACTCTCTGCCCGATCACACACACACACACATACACACACACAGGCACATGAGCATGTATGTGAATAGCTTTTTTTCTCTCTGTCTTCCAAAGGCGTCGGCACAAACGCACATTAAAACGCATGCGCATCCCACTCTCTTACTAGCCTTCGGTCGATCTATTGCCCTATCGCTTTGCTCTCTCTCTCTCTCTCTCCCTAGTTGCATCTGTCTACGCTCTTTCTGCCTCTCTGTCTCTCTGTCTCTCTCTCGTCTTGCATTCTTCACCGGCGGAGCACACGCATTCACAGCCTTGATGCTCGCACCCACTGCGGTCCCCATCGTGGCGAGATCGAAGCGCGGAGTCTCAAACATCTTCACGTCTTAAACACATTTCTTATTGATCCACTGAACCCAGCCCTGCCGACCTCCAGTGCTCACATCGATTAATCGATGTGCTGAGGCCCTGTCTCGCGTGCACAATAAGCCGGTGGGCGGGGTCATGGTCTCGAGGGGGCGGGGGCCAAGAGGAGAGGAGGCGGGAAAATGAAAGGGGAACGCGGTGACGAGGCCCAGGCAGCCGAGGTTGGTCGGCTGGTCGGCTGGCTGGGCCAATTGGTGAGATGGGTGAAAAACGAGAGCTGTCGGCCCCATCCGCTCGCCGCCTCGTTTTGTCCGTGTCTACTCAAGCCCGCACACACACACACACACAAGCACACATACAGACTGGCTAGCCGCCTCAGCAGTCCACTTTGCGTGCATGCACGTCTCCACCTGGCGGACGCTATCGCCTCGCCGGCACTCTTCAGCTGCGCGTAGAGTTGACCGCCACTTGTGCACTCCTTTTTATTTATTTATTTATTTATTTATTCATTTATTTACTTATTTATTTATTTGTCAATTTATCTACTCACTCACCTACTGGCTGGACTACTTACATTTTTCGCCTGCTCACTGCTGCTGGTGCGGTGAGTTGGCTTGCCTGATGCGATGGGAATGCGTGTGTGCGTTTGGCTGCGTCACCTCCGGCCTGTGTGCTTGTCTCGGCGCCTGTCCGCCTACACACATGCCGGCATTTTGCGAGCGACGCCCGCTATCTCCGCCAGCCTGCTGGCCGGCCGCTTGCTCAGCCCGCCAGAGTCGAATTGTCCGCTCGGCCGCGTGGAGCCAGCGCACTCGCTCGCTCACTCGCACGCACGCACACACATACAGAGAATAATGGGAGAGGCAAGTAGACAGTCGCTGTAGGCCTGGCTGAGGCCCCGCTGGCGGACCGGCAGTAGCCGAATGAAGCCTGTCCGCCGTCCGCCGACCGCCGTCCCAGCAAGACCTCGGGACGGCGCCGTCGGTGCCTCAGACATTGGCCTCGCAGTGCGAAATAGGCGCACAGCCGGCTGATCGATCGTCGGCTTGGCCAATCGCCGACTCGCTTTTCCTGGCCAATGGGCTTCTCCGGTCTGTCTGCCGGCCTGCTCGCGACTCGATCAGATCGGACGGCGCGCCGCTCTTTCGGTCGAAGTCTTGCCAGCCTTTCGCGCCAGCGCTGCAGTCGCAGCTCTCTTTGACGTGATGAGTCCGTCCTGCAGCCGTCGGGCGCACAGAGTCAGACACCAAATCGGCGAGCGCTCGTTTCGTTTGACCTCGTTTTCGCCAATCTTCTTCTCGTCTAATGAGATGTATTCACCCTATTTCGTGTAAGCTGATGAAGGACTGTTGGTACAATTTTCCCACAATGATATGAGTTGAGCTGGTAGTCTCGAAACCCTACTCAAATCCTTCTCGTCTGCCAGAAGACCTCGCCTCCTTCGCCACGGTCGCCATGACAAGTAGCAACATCGCAGCGACGATTTGCTGCCTCCCCTGACGGTTCGCCGACCCGTAAACTCGCCAAAAGGACACGACTTGTCCACCTCTCGACGCCACGAATGGCGGCTCTCATCGACCATGCCGACCACGGCAGCCGAGGTCTTCCCGAATCAGAGTTGAAATCGCACAACTTGACAAAAGGCTGTCATTGCATCTCGCCACGACGACACGAGTTGACCTCAGAATGCCGATCAACTTCTCACAGATCCTTCTGCGCCTCGGCCTCCTCCAGAGACAAGGCACAATGAATTTCCAATAGCTGCCAGGGCTCCATTTGTACCATGAAGGGCACAATCAAGCGGCGGCCCTTCACCGTGTTGTGCCAACACAGAGGCCTACAACTCATAAACGATGTACATTCTTCGAGATCACTTGAGCAAATGAAATCCAGCCGACCCTATTCCACGAAAGAAGTCCGCGAACGAGCCAACCAAGACGCCATCTTGCCAGCAAGTGTTCGCCCAGTCTAACTGACCCCCCGCCACCCCAGTATTGGGCATACAGGTCGGTTGTCACGATGACCTTCAGCGAGTCGGGAAGAAGACATGCTCGCGCAACGCGTCTGCCGCAGATTCCTCGCCGACGGGCTGCGTGGCCAGTCCTTAAAGAGCCAATGGACCAAGTGCCAACCGGTCCCGTTTGTGCCGTCGCCATTTTGCTGGCGCTTATGCCCACGGCAAATGGAAAAGAATGCTCGATTTGCCCAAGTAATTTCAGTAGTATGACATGTGTTCAGCCAATTTCGTTTAAGCTGACGGAGGACTGGCAGTACAATTTTGCCACAATGATATGAGTTGAGCTGACGTTTCCGTTCAATTTCACATTGCCTTGCTTTCCCAAAAGTTGTTCTCATCCTGGGTGGATTGGATGACTGCTATAGCAGATAT